TTTTGTATTATTATTATTTATTTATTTATAGATTATTTTTCTAATTCAGTGGCTTTGCACTTGTTCTTGTTACAAATACTGTTTTTGTTTTGTTTTCTTCTGCTATTTATTTATTGATTTGTTTGCATGTTTCGAAATAAAGATTACTAAACTAAACTAAAAACCTGATAAAATTAAAGACAGGGTAGAATACAACATTCCTTCTTCTTAAATAAGCTCAGAGAGAAAGCTATTCAAATATATTTAAGAATATAATTCAATTTCAATGCATTGTTTCTATCCACTGGTGAATGAGGTAATAATGATAAAACTCCTTGCATTTGCAGTATTACAGACCACACACTCTTTTGTGTTTCCAGTGAAATAATTTGGCACATAGGAAGTGATACATTTTACATCAACCATGACATTTTTTCCCTTGGGAATGAATGAACCAGATAAAGTGTAACAATTTAATGCTGTAAGACTGATAGATAAACTTAGCATGTGCATTTTACCATTACATCATTCACATGATAAAAACAAAAGTTCATTGCCACTTTTAACTAGACAAGGGACTCAAGTCATTTGGTTCACGTTTAAAAAAAAAAACAAAAAAAAACAAAAGTCAAGTCATATTGTCTTGGGCAATTCAACTCCAGTCTCGACACGAGTGGAGGAAACGAGGAGACAAATTGATGCAATGAGAAACACCCCATCAACAGGTGATATGGCCCCATAGAGACAGACAACCATTCACACCTCTTTTTTGACCCGCCTATCTCTCTCTCAGTTCACCCCAATCTCCCTCACAGACTTACCTGTTCTCATGGTGGGAATGAAAGCTGCCACTTGCACCCTGGGCCCTGTCCCATCCCATCTTATCAAGGCCTGCCTTCCCACTTTATCACCGCTCATCACAACAATAATTAACTCCTCCCTATCTACTGGCTCAACATACTCATACTACTTGACCTGAGTGCAGCATTCAACACCATCAACCATTCCATCCTTCTCTCCCGCCTTGAAACCACTCTTAACATTACCGGCACTGCTCTCTCCTGGCTCAGTTCCTACCTCTCCGACAGACACCTGTTCATCAGCATAAACAGTTGCAAATCCCCCACTGCTCCCCTCTGCCAAGGTGTTCCCCAAGGTTCAGTTCTCGGCCCCCTCCTCTTCATCCTGTACATTCTCTCCCTTGGTCACATAATCCGCCGTTATGGACTTCAGTTTCACTGCTTTGCTGATGACATTCAGCTCCACATCTCCACCAAAGCCATCACTCCTGCCACTCACTGTACCATCACCAGCTGCATCACCGAAATAAAATCCTGGCTGCAAACCAACTTCCTAAAACTTAACTGTGACAAGTCTCATCAAACCCACCCATAACTTGTCCCTCTCCATCGATGGCTCCACTGTGCTCTCCTCCCCCCATGTCCATAACCCTGGTGTCATCTTTGATCAAACCCTCTCTTTTGACCAACACATCAAACACATCACCAAAACAGCCTTCTTCCATCTCAGGAACATCACCCATCCATCCCTCTCCTTTTTGGCTGCACAGACTCTAACCCATGCATTCATCACTTCCAGACTCGGCTACTGCAATAGCTTCCTCTACGGCTTATCATCCAAAACACTCAAGAAACTTCAATATATCGAGAACTCAGCTGCTTGTCTTCTCACACACTCCTGAACCTGTGACCACATCACCCCCATCCTTCGTAACCTCCACCAGCTCCCCATTCCCCAGCGTATCCACTTCAAACACCATATCATCACTTTCAAAGATCTTCACAACCTGCACCTCAGTTCAGTAAAAGTCTAAATACACATCTGTCTTTGTCTCCCTCTGTCTCTGCCCCTCAGTTTGTCCTCACCTGGTGAAGTTGTGCAGATCAGCTGAGTTGTGTGAGAGTCTTGTTGACTTCCAGCTGGAGCTTCCAGTCTGATGATCTGTGATGTTGAAAGGTGACTTATATACTGTCAGATACTCTCTTCTATTGACTCCTCCCACGACACGCCTCAACACGTGACCTGAGGCCTGTAGAACAGGGAGATAATGAGACAGGCAGAGTGCTTCCTTCACCCGCTTCTGACAGACTTTAGAGGACACATATTTAACTGTTCTGAGACTGCAGCCCAGGCATCCCAAAACAACACAACATTCATTAAAATAAAAAATGTGAATCCACATAATCCATGTGTTTTATAATTCTTTACATACAAAGGAAAAGAAAATACATCCTTCAATAAA